TTCACACAATAACTGTAAAGTATAATTTGAGAAGTAAATAGAAAAACGGGGTTGTAATACTCAAAACGACCGGCCGAGTCGTTACAGGTAGTAGGTTTTTATGACTAACCGTTGTTTGCTTTCATTGTTGATCACCTTACTATCTTGTTGTTTTTATTCTTCTTATATATGGCTTTATGGTACTGTCCCTTCGTGTCTATATTTTTATTAATGAAGATTCTGTAAAATAGAGAAATAAACATACGAAATAGTTAAAAGGGAAAAAAGATTAAGCTTGACAAAAGAGTAAACACTTGTCATTCTTCTTTGTTTTAATCATTTTGTAGATTACCATAGTTCCTTTGTCCTTTCCTTAACAGTTGGTTATTATTTTTCAACAAGAAAGTCAGAAACTTTAAGTGCATGTTGATAATCGCACAATAAACATACAAAATGCAGAAATTTTTGAAATATAGCAACAACAAGAAACAAAAACCAAAAGTAGCAAGAGACGCCTGTTATAATTTTCGGAGTTAAGAGTGATTAGTGACGTAAAAACTCCAGGAATTGAGGAGAAAGCTCAAGGTTCTATGGAGTATGACTGTAGACGATTCTTCACTGTTTAACGAGGTTAGGGCTTTTTTTTAATGGGGTGGGGACAGATTTTTTTTTTTTTTAACAAAGTCCACTAGGCATTATGCCTAGGGTTAATTTTCATAAATATAAAGTAAAGTACAACAATGTAGGGGGACATAAACCTTACCTTCCAAAATAAGATGGGTGTACACTTGGTAATCCAAACATGCCAACCAAATGAACCTACACAACTATGTGTATTAGACCTATGATGAGATATCAATTGTCTATCTAATAATAGTGATAAACAATTGAGTGTACAATAACAAGGTGTAGCGAACCAAGGTCTACTTATACGAAAAGGCACAAGTGATCCTTAATCTACTAGGCCGATTATTTGGAGGAACATCCTCCAAATACAATAGGCTCTACTTTTAGTAAATGTGTAAAAACTTCCTAATGGATATGATAAAAAATAAGTGATCATGATAGGAACTATCTTTCAACTTTGGTTTGACATTGAGGTCAAGAAAAGTCAAGTTGAAGATAGCTATCAAAAGTCCCATGTAACTGGGCAGAAGTGTTGCTTCTGTCTGGTATTTTTGACAGAAAAGAGTTAGCATTGTGCTGCTTTCATCTTCCAATATGTCATGAATCTTGCAGGTTGAGGTGGCTGCTTCTGCCTCCTGGATATGCTGGTGCAGTGAGTGTGCTTCTACTGCTGAGAATTGGTTGAGCAACCAGTGCAGGATAGTTAGGTTTGTGCCCCTAAGAGTTTCCTGCTGAGAGTCTGCATATGTGAAAGGTATCTGTAGTTGAGCTGATGGATATTGTGAACTTGTGAGCTGCATTCTGCACCTATCATCTTCCATTTGTGAGGTACGGATTGAGTTGTTGCAGAAAAGAACCAGGTGGAACCCCCAGTTTTATGGTTTGAGAGCTTGCTGCTCCTTTGAGGCTGCATTCTATCAGCCCAGAAATCTGGAACAAAGGGTGAGGTCCAAGAAAATTGATGCAATTGCAATAGAATGAGCATTGAAAATGCTGATACCACACATTGCAACTGCAGCAATGGACTGGACCAAAACAAAGTACCTGTAAAAAAGATACACATGTTAGTAAACCAGTAGGTAGACATGTCCTTTGTCATATTGATCATTTGTGTGTCTATGGAGATGATTGGGGTTTGGATTGATGAATTAGCTTCCTTGAGTATGCAGTTGTCAACCATATCCATATCCATGAGAGTTAGAACTGGAAGGTCTGTTAGCTGAAAATTAGATCATGTGGGTTTGTTTGTGTCTAAAGGCAGGTGTGTTGTTCTGATCGAGTTGTATCTGGACTTTGATGTGTAGTGGTAAGTCTGGCATATGTTGAAAATGTGTTATATGTGGCAAGTTATGGATGAGCTTGGATAAAGAATCAGCTGGGAAGTTGGCTTCCCTATACACATGGGTAAGGATGATATCATTGCACTGCCTACAGAGGTCTTTGAGGTCATGTATTTTCATGGTCAACTTCCAATGGGGTTCAGAGCTGTGTTTGATCCATTGAATCAATAGAAAAGAGTCATCTTCAAGATGAATGTTTGAGAAACCATTCTCCAAACACCATTTGATTCCAATAAGTGCAACTTCAGTTTTTGCTTGGTTATTGGTGCCTATCCCCAGAGGAGCAACTATTGTATGAATGAAGCCACCTTGTGAGTCTCTAACTATAACCCCTGCTCCTATACTCCCAAGATTTGTAAGAGCACTGTCATCACTATTTATTTTCATAAATCTTTCTGCAGGTTTATGCCAGATTACTTATTTGGTAATGGTGATATGCTGAATCTCCTATGTTTAGGTATACAGTTCAATCGAGTTGATAGGCCAATTGAATATTGGATAATTGGTTGTGAGCAAGAGATGAATATCCGAGTTAATGGAGAAAAGAACTCTATTCATGGAGGAAGACCTGTTGCCATACTTTGCATTACACCTATTCTTCCACAAATTCCAACAAATGATGATAGGCAGGGTCTCCAGAAGAAGTTTCTGCACTATATTCTTGCTCTTTTATAGCCACCATTTCATCAAGAGGAGCCTGAGTGGCATGTCCTCCAGTTTGAATCCAACAATACCTGAATATTTTTTCCATACAGCTCTTGCAAAATGACCTCTGGAGAAGATGTGGTCAACTGTTTCTAAATGATGTATAATGCAGCAAACACATCTAGTGACAGTAGGCTGCCCAAAGCAAAGTACTCTATCATCAGTTGGTAGCTTATTTTTTATGGCTCTCCATACACAAAAGGACCATTTGAAGGGGATCTTTTTATGCCAAGTCATCTTGTTATAGAACAATATTTGTTTCTTTTTCTGATCACCTCCCAAGCAGATACACAGGTGAAGTTTCCTGATGTGTTTGGAGTCCATATAGGCTTATCTGGGGTCTGTGGTCTGAAATATATGGGTGTCTGCAAAATTTCTGTGATTTTATGTTCAGGTGCTATTGTATTAAGTTTCTGTATGTTCCATTGATCATGATCCCAAAAATGTGCAACACTGATGTTACCAAGTCTACCACCTTGATGTCTATGATTTGCCAGAGGACCAGTTCCTAGCCAGTTATCCCATCAAAAACTAGCATTACCTGAATGAAGTCTCCAATGTATATGAACCTCAACTTTGTTTTTGTTGATCATCATTTTTTTTCAGGCTTGGGACTGACCAGTGTCCTATTTCTTAGAAATAGGATGTTATCTCTTGCAGTATTTGGCCAAGAGGAAGCTGCTCCACAAGGATTGTTTTGTCCTAAAGGTCCACCATTATTTGAATTTCATTGTTGTGCATACATCCTCTGTAGATCTGATACCAATCCCTCCTTCATTATGAGGGTAAGTCAATATTCTCCAAGAGGCCCAGTGGTATTTATTTTTATCTTTCTCGACACCCCAGAAGAAATTTGCAGCCATTTTTTCTATCTGCTTTATTACTGTTTTGGGAGGTGAAACAGCTGACAGGAGGTGTATGGGTAAGGACTGAAGAACATGTTTGATCAAGGTAACATTACTACCATAGGAAAGAAGCTTGCCATGCCAACCTCTAATTCTATTAATGAACTTAGAGATTAAGCCATTGAAGTGAACAATTCTTTTCCTTCCAGTGTAGAGAGGGCAACCTAGTATGTGATAGGTGATTCCTTCCTTGTGAATCCAGTGATTTGTTGAATCCTTGACACATTGTAGTGGAACACACATGAAGTAACCATAAAGTAACTCTTGTTTTTGTTGATCATTTATCCAGAAGTATTTTCATATACAGCAAGAATGCCCATAATGTTTTGCAATGGAATTCTAGTACCTGAATTGAAAATGATCACATTATCTACAAAGCTTAGATGATTGATTTGTGGTCCCCTTATGTCCATGTAGAAACCATTAAGAGTTGGTAATCAGTGAGTCTGTTAAGCAATTTTGATAGTGATTCTACCCAATGATAAAAAGTGTTGGTGCAAGTGGATCACCTTGTTTAAGACCTCTAGTTGACTTAATGAAACCATGTCTAACACCATTTACAATTACAGAGTACCAATTGTTCGACATTGTCCTCCAGATCATGTCTATGAATATTTCATTGAATCCCATCCTTCTGAGCATAATACAGGTAAAGATTCATGAGACTCTATCATAAGCCTTAGCCATATCAAGCTTGATCACTACATTGGCCCCAGTGTTTTGTTTCTTAATGCCCTGAACTATTTTTTGTGCAAGCATGATATTTTCAGAGATACTCCTTCCTCTAACAAAACCAGTTTGGTTTGGGGAAATTATTCTTGGAAAAATTGGAACCAGTCTTGTGCAGATGAGCTTTGAGATGACTTTGTTGATGAAATTACTGAGGCTATAGGTCTGAATTCAGTAAAGGAGTTGGGAAAATCAACTTTAGGCAGCATGACCAAGCAAGCATGGGTGAAGTATCTGGGCATGGTGGAACCTCTGTAGAAAGCTAGGACTACATTAAGCAGTTCAAGCTTGATGACATCCCAACAAAATTGGATGAAAGTCCCATTCATACCATCTGGGCCAGCAGCAATGTTAGGATTCATAGAAAAGACCACTTGTTTGAGTTCTTACATGGTTGGATCTTTGGTGAGTTCAGCATCATCTTCATCAGTGATCAAGGAAGGAATGCAAGTTAGTAAATCTTCTCTGACAATTCCATCTGTTTCAGTGAACATATTCTTAAAGTGCTCACGAGCAACATCACCTTGGATCCAGTTTCCGTCTTCATCTTTAATTCTATGAATGTAAAGCCTCCTTTTTCTGCCTATGATTAAACTATAAAAGTATTCAGAATTGGCATCTCTATCTTTGAACCATTGCATTTATGTTTTTTGTTTCAAAACTGCCTCCTCTACCTTGAGGTATGAGACATAGTGAACCTTGAGTTTGTGTAGGGCTATTCTGTCAACTGGATCATTAGTAGCAGCCCACTTCTCCTCTGCTTCTTTGACCTTCTGTTCATATACTCCTTTGGTTTTTGGAAGATATCCCTATATTGAATTCTGGACCATTTGCCCAGGGCTTGTGAAAGGGCTTTGAGCTTCTGATGAAACACCCACTTTGTAGTCCCTTCCACATGTTTGTTCCATACACTCTGTACTATAGATAGAAAACTGTCATTTTCTGTCCAACAGTTGAGAAATCTGAAGTATTTCTTGGCTTGGTCATGTTGTCCATGAATCTTCATAAGCAGTGGTGAATGGTCAGAACCAGCACATGTAAGATGACTGATAGTAGTAGTAGGGAAAGAGACTAGCCAGTTGTCATTGGCAAGTCCTCTGTCCAATCTCTTCCACACAATAGCACCAGGTCCTTTTCCATTTGACCAAGTGTATCTTGAACCATAGAAGCCAAGGTCAACAAATCCACAATCCTCCATCATACTCAGGAAGTCAAAACTCTTGCTCATTTGATATGGTACTCCTCCAATTTTCTCCCCAGTAGAAGCAATAACATTAAAATCTCCAATAATACACCAAGGCACAGTGCAAATTATAGATTTCAGTACCAATGTCTTCCAAAGTGGTATTCTCATTGCAGGTTTACATTTGGCATAGATGACGGTCAAGTGAAATGTTTCTGTAGCTTCCACATGTTTTAGTTCAATAGTAAGTTGTTGCTCATCTTGATCTAAAACTTGCCCAGAAAATTTATTATCCCAAAAAATTCAAATTTTGTTATTGATGTTGGAGGTTGCATGGTGCATAGATAATTGGAGTCTAAAGTAGTTAAGGTGGTTTGTATCAAGAAAAGGTTCAAGCACAGCAATGAAAGAAAGGTTATGAAGTTTTTTCAGAAGTCTGAGCCTTTCAATAGTTCCTGAGGTTTTGATGCCTCTTGCATTCCAAATAATTGTACTAATCATTGGAAGATGGGTGTGGTTTTGGACTTGGATGGTTTGTTGCCAGTAACAGCAACTTTTCTTCTAGTGACTCTGGGTGAGGGCCTGAGTCTGGAAAAAGATTTTGGTTCATACTGATTTCCTCCTGTTCAGAAGAGGCATTGACAGCTTTAGTAAGGAGGTCACAGTGATTGTCTGTATCAATTTCTTCATCCCTGACAGGCTCATCATTAGAAACTTCCCAGTTTTCATCTTTTGATTTGATAGGTCTGTATTCATCTTCATCTTGAGGAATAGGAGAGAACCTATTCATCGAACTAGTAAGTGCACTATGAAGTAGAAGGTTAGGTTCACTTGCCACATTGGTTGTTGCAGGTCCAGATTGTTCTACTGAAGTTGGATATTGTTGAGGATCTGATGGCTTTGCAGGATCATCAGGTGGTTTGTCAAGGTAAGAACTGTGGATTCTTTCATTAATTAACAGCGGTTGCAACAGAGTATATTCATCCTGATTAGCAACCTCCCTGACTTTAAAAACACTGTCAGAATCATTCATACCATATCCAGGAATTCATTTCTGTTGGATCATTGGACTGTGTGGATGAGTGAGTGCCTCGGATTGTTCATTAGTTCATACTGTAATAGTTTCGCTTGCTTTCCTTCTCACAACTCTTCTTTTCCTCTGGCTGTGATTATTCTTGTGTGTAGCAGCTTGAATTGGGAAGTCTCACACTACTTTGCCTTTACCTTTGAGCATTCTTGACAGAACATCTGGATGTTCTTCTTCAGCACTACTAATATCAATATTGTCTTCTTCATGAATTTGGTGTAGCTGATTAGTGGTAGCAGAGGATATTTGGGTCATCCTATGGTCAATCGATGGTGCAAAGGCACACTCATGCAAAATATGAGGAATTCCACCCCTTTTTGGATCCCCATTTCTTAGGCCTACAGGTTTCTCCTGACAATCCATCTTCCCTCCAGTACCTTCATGAGTAGAAGATGATGTTTTTCCCCTTCATAGCTCCAGTTGATTGTTGGGTGTTTGCAGATCCTTGCATGACAATTGCAGAATCATTTTTGGTATTACCTTGATTTTGTGCTCCTGCTACCTGCTTTTGGTGTAGATTTTGAGCCTGTTTTTTGTTGTTCTATCCCTTGAATTGTTTTTTCTTTTAAGTTTTCCATTCATCTGTTCAATAGCTGTGCCCTGCACTTTGATTTTCCTCCATTAGTTGGTTGCTTCCTTCTATGTGAACTGTGGTAGTAGTGGTATTTTATTGAGTTTGTTGAACTTGAGTTTGCTGATTGTCTTGTTGTTGCTGGTGATTTTGTGGTTTCCTTTGGTCCTGATGTTGTTGTTCTCCCTTAGTGTCAGTTTTGATATTGTCTCTTTTCTTCTTATTTTCTTCTTCTTTAATTCTAACAGAGCATGCATGCATATTGTGGCCAAGAAGTTTGCAATGAAGGCAATATTGAGGAATGCTTTCATACTGGACTTCAAGACATCTGCCATCACCATTCACATCCTGATTCTCATCAAATCCCAACCATACATGATGTGCTCTTGGTTTAGTGAGATCAATCTGTAATTTGACCTTTGTCACACTTCCTCTTGTCTTTTGAAAGGATGTCAAGTCCAGATGCAAAGCTTTACCAACTAAAGTAAGGAGACCTGTGAGAATCTCCATATGGTAGAAATGCAAAGGTAGCTCTAGGATTACCACCCATACATGAACTATAGGTGAATCTTCATTGAGATTGAATTTTGGTGTCCAGGATTCTAATTTCATCATTTGACCTTGTATGTGCATAGATTGTCTAGTCCATATAGTGACATGATCATACTCATTGTCCAGGTCTATGTAAACTGTCCTGGCATTAAAATGTGCAATTTTGATCTTTTAACTCAGTTTGAGCAACAAAACTTATTCTGATCACTTCCATCCTAGGAATGGTGTTCGAGAATTTGCCAACCACAATGAATTTGCACTCGGCAGCTAAGTTGACCACATAATCTTCCTTGGTAAAAACGACTGCAGGTTGGCCCTGTTTTGTGGAGATTTTAGGGGGTGAATTGTATGGGGGCATGTTCAGCTTCTTGTCTAGCTCTAAGTCTGTTGACATAAGAATGTGTGATGGTAGGTGGTGGAGGAGGATAGGTGTTGATTGGTTGTTTGGGTTTTTTGCTAATTTCAGTAGATTGTATTGTAAGTGTGCTTTGTTTGGGCATGGGCTGAGGTGCTTGGACTTCTGAGTAGGTATTCTTATCAAAGTTGGAAGATATTTTAGGAAAGGTACCTGCATCAGTAGTAGGTGAAATCTTTGGTTGGGTCTGAGATTGGTTGATATTGGGATGATCATGAGGTGAGTTAGGTCATTGAGTGACTACAACTATTTCCTGAGTTTCATTACCAGTAGAAATGACAGTAACACCATGTGGAGCAGCAGGAACGAGCTTCTAATTTAAATTATCAACTTGGCGGGTGTTACCTGGGCCTTTGGCAGAATAGTTTTATCCATTTTATGATTCATGTCATGACTTGAGATGTTAGAAAAATTGACTATGGATTCAGAAAAGACCTCCAATTGGTCAGAACACAATTGACCAGGCTCACCATCAATGTCGATCGACTGTGGGATAACTGGAGGTTTTAGAGTTGCAGTGAATGCACTTTTTTCAGTTGGTTGAATTAAAACCTCATTTGAGCTATAATTATCCATCTCCCTAACCATAGGAAGCATCTCCATTTGGTTGGGAAAGTTTTGAACACATGTAACATCGAGTTCGAATAACTGATGCCCTACTTGCTTCGAAAAATCAGAGCTTTCAATTCCTGAAGTAGATTGAGTTGAAACTTTATAGATATGTTCTCCACCTTCCTTAGAAGCATCTCCAACACTTTTCATGATTAATGGGGAAGTACAAATGTGTTTGGCATTTTGTCGAACAGCTGGGGGGCTCACAGTTGCAGAAATCATTTTTTGCAATGTTGTGGAGACTGAACGGTTGAAATGGAGTGGGGATAGATTAGAAACAATCTCCTTACCTGCGGAGATTATTTCGCATTGGTTTTGTTCCATTTGGACCCCTGTGTTACCATGTGTGACCAACTGGTGCTCTCCGGCAAAGTTCAGATAATCGCTGACGACGATTCCGGATGTGTAATGGGGTGAAACTTGGTGGGACGATGGTATTTGAGTTGGAGAACAATCTCTATAGCTCGGAATCACTCGATTTGGCCCAGAAATGGAGTGGGATTTTTCAGAAGTGCCCAGGCAATTTAACGCTACAGTGATCGCTCAACCAGCTTTGATTTCCGTAGCAACTGGCGGTGAATCGATGAGGGCGCCCAACTAGGGCTTGTGCGCATTGATATTGCGCTTCTTTTGGGACTGGTCCGGTGGCTTTTCACCACCGGATGACGTGTAGCACTGTTTAGGGTTGTCTTTAGGCGACTGTATGAAGAGAGGTATTTATAGCTTCCCAGCGACGGTTCACGTGGGGACAGATTTGGGGTAAAACGAAAAAGGGTTTAAAAAATATAAGGGCAACTAGTCAACTTGTTGTGCTTCACGCGGTTAAAATAAAAAAGAAAATTTACGATTTGATCTAGCTATAAATAAATCGAGGCATAACAATTGGAACTCTTTTTGTATATGCATTCAAATATAAATATTTTCCCCAATAATTCCAAAACTCTACATATCACCTATTTTAATTAACTTTCAACATAGAGGGTCAAAAATAAAAAAAAATAAAAAAAGTAACGGTTAATAGATATGAGAATTATAGATTCAAATATAAGTTAGCTCTATCTATTAAAGCTTAGATATACGAAAAGAGTCAAATATCGGTACACCACAATTTTCTTTTAATCTGAGAAGCTCAGATCCTTCAGTGAAATTCTCAAGAACTCGAAAGGCACCATGTATTCAACTTATAATTTCCCTTTCTTTTTTCTTCTCTAGAGAAGATCGAGTCTGGCAACAAAATTACACACATGTAAGATATTTGCAAGCTCTATTTATAAAAGTAATTTATCTTTAAGGTCTCGAAGGATTCAGGAAAATTTTAAGCAAGATAAATAGAAAGAGATTCAACATGTATTATGTTTTATCAATTCTTTCTCTTCCGTCCTTTCTCAATTGGTGAAAATATAGTAAGATTATAAAGTATACACAAAGATATATCTTCTAATTTACCATCCAAAATACAGAAAGATAGGAAGGCTAAAAGATATTTGAAAATTTTAAATATTAAAGTAAGGAAGCTTGTATATAACAATGGAAACTTGCCTAAAAACAAATTCGCGTTCTTGTTTCTTATGTCACTATCTAGTTTTCTGCAATTAACAAAAGGCCATAAAGAATAACATCCGCAATCAGTTGATAGTAAAAGAATGCAGTCAGTTCTTTGATAAACATTTCAATAAAATGTGGTGTGAAGTATATTGCACACAAAGACATGATGTTTATTCATTTTGTTTCCCATTAAAGATTGGGATTAGTATCTACAATACCATACATGATAGTACGAAAATGTATAGCCATGACAAAACAGATAGTACTACATGGGCTTCATTCTAAGTCCTCCTTTTTGTGTCCCTCTTTTTTTTTCCAAATTTTGCAAGCACCATAGGGAAAAAATACATTTTACCCATTGGTGAACATTGTCCATAAGCGATCAACTGGAAAAAAGTCATAATAAATAGGGAACAGGAACTGAATTAAAGAAGCCAATATCTAATTTGATTAGTCAAAAGATAATCATATATCCAAGATACTTAGTACCACGATTACCTAATAATTGCAAATCCACTATCCGTCAACATTCCCGAAAGCTGGCTTTTCATAAGCCACAAGTAACAACATTGCCTCAAACCCAACTGAAGTAAACATAGTGCATTAAAAATAATCAGGAAACTTCTGAGGAAGCATCTCACTTTTCCAAGAGAAAGAAATAAAAATGTATAAGGCTCTATTTCATGGTCATCGACAAAAAATTATGTTATCAGTAACATATTAATTCTTCATCTCCTTGGTTTCTTTTAAAACCTTAAGTTACCAGTTAACATGATAACAAAGTATATCGAAGATATGGAAGCCAACTTCTACTAACTTGCTCAACATAAGCTAAGAGAAGGTGATGTAACAGAACAGATTGTGCCCTTTGCAGATGAGCATATTTCAAGAACTATGAGTTATTCGTTCTTCATAGCTAGTCTAACCAATGCCGTATACAGGTCATATGGCAACAAACATGTATGCATAGTAACTTTTGAGGTCTGAATACCTTGTAAATTGAACATGTTGCGCAATATCGCCTATTTTCCCGAGGAAAAATGGCCTCAAAATTACCTGATCTTTCACTACTTACATTGCTTTACATATCCTCACTTTGTTCTTTTTTTGCATCCAAAAAAACTGCAACAATGGTTAAATTTCATTGTCCTAAAACTATAAGATGAAATCGAGAAGAATAAAAAGGAAATTATACATTATTCAGTGAGGTCCAAATCGCAACATTCTGATGTACCTTTGCCAGTAACAGAGATTGACCCATTGTAAGGTTTTAACATAGTCAGTTTAAGACCTTGAAATTAAAAAGAAATCCAAGCAATTCAGTTTTCTTGAACATTGTCTGCACTGGAACATGAAGATAAAGTTATAAGATATAAGAATCAATCGACTTTTGACATTCAAACTTAACTTGGACTATGTAAAGACTCCATTAAATAGGGTACGGGAAAATGCCAAATTATTTGGAGTTGTATTTAAACACTCTTGGAAACTATAGAAAAAATGCAGAAAAAGAAATTCTACTTTCGAAGGCCTTGTTCATGTTTGAAGAAGAAGAAAGCTATTGTTTTAAAGAAGAATAACCATTGTACAAACCCTTTCACATTCTTAACTATATTGTTGACTCTTCTTTCACATCCATCACAGTCCATTTACACATTTGTTTAAACCTTCTACCAAGAAAAACGAAGAAGAATTCTCGAATAGTACAAAAATTATAAATAAATTGAGAATAAGCAAAGAGGAAAAAAGCGGAAAGAAAGATAGAATAGTAAAAAGCAGAAATTTATTGCATCATATGCATGTACATAGAAATTCCAAAGATTTCAATAATAGCTTCAATTATCCCTAAAATCAGCACAGATCCATATTTACTTAATCCCAAATCTTCATTTCCAGTTTTCAGCGCAAAGTGTAAACTTTGATGCTAACCAAGATTAGGTATTAAGTATACAAAGAAAAACGAAGAAGAATTCTCGAATAGTACAAAAATTATAAATAAATTGAGAATAAGCAAAGAGGAAAAAGCGGAAAGAAAGATAGAATAGTAAAAAGCAGAAATTTATTGCATCATATGCATGTACATAGAAATTCCAAAGATTTCAATAATAGCTTCAATTATCCCTAAAATCAGCACAGATCCATATTTACTTAATCCCAAATCTTCATTTCCAGTTTTCAGCGCAAAGTGTAAACTTTGATGCTAACCAAGATTAGGTATTAAGTATTAAGTATTAAGTATACAAAGAATATGGAGAAAGAAGGCTACAGGGGTCAAAAACTTACAGTTAGATTAGGAGTAGGGGAGAAAAGAATTTTCTATAAACGGAGAGAAATATCCTCTCACCGGTTTCAATCGAGATAGAGAGAGTCGGGGAAGAGACGGTTCTTTTAATTCTAATAGTGATTTTGCCTTTCAATAGTGACTGTTGGATGCAGTAAAAGATAAACCGTTTTCTAGTGTTTAGGAAATTAAAAAAAGGAGATAATAGATAAATAGAATTGTTGTTTACATAAGGCGCCACATCATCCTCCTCATGTCCCTGCTTTATATAATTATATAGATTGTCAAAATTATTCTTCAATTGGTTAAGTTTCATCAGGCTTGGTTCTAAGGCGAGTCTTGCGCCTAAGCGTGTGCCTCATCTCTTGGGGCGTGCGCCCAAAGGATCTACGCCTCTCATTAACGCCCAGATGCGTTTTATGCGCGCCCCGCCCCGATTCGCGCCCCGGGACTCGACCCATAATTAATCAATCTCTAGTTTCGTTTCTCCAGTTAATCACTGTTAATATAGATAGTAGAAGTAATTTGCAAAACTATCTTGTTTGGAAGCGTATTTAAGCTATTTCTTCTACACTCATCAAGCGTACACTCTAACACCCACATTTAGCTCCCTGAGGAAATCGACTCCGACTCATAGTTGGGTACTATTCTTCCAATGACGTCTTCCACTCATTGTTGAGTGTGGATTGGGAGTGGATCACTACTCGGTGACACGCGGAATTTGAAAATTTTGTAGTTGAGTCGCAGTTGTCCTTATCGGTTATTTATGAGATTTTAAGTGCTAAATCTATTGCATCATGCTTTAATTATTAAAATGTGTACTTATTTTGTGATTGCCGGCTTGCCTAGTACTGTGATAGGCGTCATCACGACATGTTGAGATTTGGGTTGTGACAAGTTGATATGAGAGCCTAGGTTACATAGGACTCACGAGTCATGAACAGGTTTAGTAGAGTCTTGTGGATCGGTACGGAGACGTCTGTACTTATCTTCGAGAGGCTACTAAACCATTAGGAAACTTCACTTTCTTGTATTCTTGTCATACGGATTTGTTGATTTCGGAAAACTAAACTTCTATTATTCTATTCTCTCACAGATGGTGAGGACACGTGCTACCGGATCGGACAGACGGCCACCAGTACCACCATCTAGGTCCACGAGAGGCCGGGTCCACGGTAGAGGCCGAGGTACAACACGTACAATAGCTAGAGCAGCACCTGTGGAGCCACCAGTTACTCCAGCTTAGGAGCAGATGCCAGATGTGGTTGAGCCAGTGGAACCATCTCACGCACCAGTTGTGCCCATTGTGATTCTAGGCATTTAGGAGGCTTTGGCCCAGATATTGACTGTATGTACTAGCCTTGCTCAGGCGGTTTCAGTTTAGGTTGCACCAGCCACTTCTCAAGCCGGGGGAGGTGCTTAGACTACTGCCGCCCGTACTCCAGAGCAGGTGGTTCAGGAACTTCAGACACCGGGGGTACTACCAGCCCAGTCGGTTGTAGTTTCTCAGACCCAGGTGGGTCCACCTATGAGTGACAAGGATAAGAAGAGGCTAGAGCATTTTGGGAAGCTCAGGCCTCTAGCGTTCGGTGGGACTGAGTCAGAGGATGCTTAGGATTTCTTAGACAGGTGCCAGCAGATCCTTCGCATGGGGATATTCTGGAGACTAGCGGAGTCTCATTTACTACGTTTCAGCTGTCGGGGGCAGCCTTCAGATGGTGGGGGCCTATAAGTTGAGAAGGCCAGTCGGCGCTGCACCACTTACGTGGCATGAGTTCTTTGTTCTCTTCTTAGAGAAGTTTGCTCCACAGACCCTTAGGGAGGAGTTACGTAGGCAGTTTGAGCAGCTACGCCAGGAGGGTATGTCAGTGACCCAGTATGAGATGAGATTTTCAGAGTTGGCTCGCCATGCGATCTGGTTGGTTCCCATAGAGAGGGAGAGGATTAGGAGGTTCATTGATGGCCTCAACTATGGACTGCGCTTTGTTATAACTCGAGAGATTGCATGAGGTGCTAGGTTCAATAAGGTGGTTGATATTGATAGGCGACTAGATCAGGTTCATAGTCAAGAGTGTGAGGAGAGGGAGGCCAAGAGGCCTCGTGGTTCGGGTAGTTTCAGCAGTGCCTCATCTGGAGGACAGTCCCACCACACCAGGGGTCGTCTTTATAGGCCCGCTCAGATGGCTCGTTTGGTTCATCGTGGTGCATCACCTAGCCATGGTTCATATAGTGCTCGTCCGAGTCAGTTATCTCTCAATGCCCTCCCAACTCAGAGTTTTTCTCATGCTCCATCAGTTTAGGGTTCATCAGTACCAAGTCCTTCTAGCAGTTATTCTGGTTCTCGGGGTCCAATTCAATCTCCACCACCATTAGCGGAACGGAGTTACATCGAGTGCAGGGAGTTCGGACATGTGTGGAGGCAATGTCCCCGTTGTTATGGAGGTCCAGTTCAGTAGAGGGGTCAGGCTATGACTTTTACAACAGTTAGTTCACCACCCGCTCAGCCAGTTTGGGGTAGGGCTCAGGCAGCTAGAGGTCGCCCTAGAGGTGGAGGCCGATCAGGTGGCGGTCACGCTCGATGTTATGCTTTCCTTCCAGGCCATAGGTTGTTGCTTCATACGCAGTGATCACAGGTATTGTTTCAGTGTGCCACAGGGATGCTTCCTTATTATTTGACCCTGATTTCACTTATTCATATGTATCATCGTATTTTGCTCGTTATATGGATATGCCCCGTGAGTCCTTAGTTTCGCCTATTCATGTATCAACGCCAGTGGGCGATTCCATTATTGTGGATTGTGTGTATCAGTCGTGGGTGGTGACTATTGGGGGATTGGAGATGAGATTTGAACTCATATTGCTTAGTATGGTTGATTTTGACGTGACTACTGGGCATGGATTGGTTGTCCTCGTGTCATGCTATTCTGGACTGTCACGCTAAGACAGTGACGTTGGCGATGCTGGAGTTACCTAGTGTCACGACCCGAAATTTCCACCTTCAGACCGTGATGGCGCCTAACATTTCACTTGCTAGGCAAGCCAACGTTAGAATGATATTAACCAATTTTTAAACAATATTTAAATTTATTAATAACAAATAAATAAATGCGGAAGTAAGGTCTGAAATATAGTGATTAATCCATAAAGACAACGGTGTCTAAATACCTTCCCAGAATTAGTGTCACAAGTGCACGAGCTTCTAGAATAAATACAAATAAAGGTCTGAATAAAATAAAGCTGTCTGGAAACAAACACACAGCTAAAGTAAAGTAGATGGGGACTTCAGAACTGTGAACGCCGTGCAGTTATACCTCAAGTCTCCTCTGAGTAGCTGAAATCCGAGCAAGTCTATGGTACGCCGCTGGGACCAACTCCAAAATCTGCACAAGAAGTGCAGAGTGTAGTATCAATATAACCGAACCCATGTACTGGTAAGTGCTGAGCCTAACCTCGATAAAGTAGTGACGAAGCTAAGGCGGGTCACTTACATTACCTGTACGCAATATTAGTAACAACGATAATAGTAGAAATAAATCAGGTAACTCGTTTATAATAATTGAAGCCAACTCAGCAGTCATAACCAATTATCATTTCCATCAATTCTGTTGCAGCGTGCAACCCGCTCTCACAATATATTCACATTCAGTTCTGTTGCGGCGTGCAACCCGCTCCTCCAATATATTCATTTTAATCAAGTCTTTTGCGGCGTATAACCCGATCCCCCAATATATATATATGTACGTCGACTTTTAAATAAGTCTGTTGCGGCGTGCAACCCGATCCTCCAATATGAACTTTTAATAAGTTTGTTACGGCGTGCAACCCGATCCTCCAATATATTCATTATAATTAATTTTGTTGTGGCGTACAACCCGATCCTCTAATATATTCATTATAATCAATCCTGTTGCGGCGTGCAACCCGCTCCTCCAACATATTCATTTACCAATTCTTATAGAAGAAATTTCCCCAATAAATGCAATAATTAATATAAAATTATAAGACAACAAGTATATAATAATTTTGATTTAATTATGAAACAAACAAAGGCAAATAGCAAATTATTATAGAAATCAGAGAGAAAATATGCAGTTTAATATTTAATATGCTAAATGTCAAATAACAATTAAGGCACATAATTCAAATAGCATGTAACAATTAATGCAGGAATTCAAGAATTAATATTTGACAAAGAATAGGAGAGAAATAATTATTATAATAATTAATTCATGATTTAAAATAATTTATGATTTTTCAAGTAAGCAGGCAAACAATTAATTTGACGACGTATAGACACTCGTCACCTCGCCTTTACGTCGTTCACATGCAATTCACATAACAAATAATTTGAGGGTTCTATTCCCTCAAGTCAAGGTTAACCACGACACTTACCTCGCTTTGCAAATTCCAATCAATTACTTGACCACAGCTTTTTTTTAAAAATTTATCTCCAAAAGCTTCAAATCTATTCACAAACAATTCAATATACTCAATACGAATCATAGGAATTAATTCCATATGAATTTACTAATTTTCCGGAT